GGTAAATGGCGAATGTGCATTGATTACACAAATCTTAACCAAGCCTGCCCCAAGGATTGCTATCCGATGCCGAGCATTGACAAGTTAGTTGAAGCAGCTTCAGGCAATGAGAGGTTAAGCCTCTTGGATGCATATTCTGGGTATCACCAGGTGCCGATGGCTCCCGAAGACGAAGAGAAAATCTCGTTCTATACTGGCGATGAAATCTATTGCTATGTCATGATGCCGTTTGGCTTAAAGAACGCTGGTGCTACTTATCAGAAAATGGTGACCATCGTCTTCCGAGCTCAGATTGGCAAGAATCTGGAGGTGTATATCGATGACATCGTAGTAAAGAGCCGAAAAGCAGAAGACCATCTAGCTGATCTCGACGAAACCTTCAACAACCTCAGAAAGAACAGGATGCGGTTGAACCCAGCCAAATGCATCTTCGGAGTGGAGTCCGGAAAGTTTCTAGGTTTCATGGTGTCTCGAAGAGGGATTGAGCTCAATCCAGAGAAGATCAGAGCCATTGCCGATATGGAACCGCCGAAATCAGTAAAAGATATACAGAGATTGACTGGAAGAGTGGCAGCTCTTCATCGATTCATATCGAAGTCAGCAGATAAGTGCCTGCCATTCTTCAAGATTATGAGGTCGGCCGCCCAAAAGGATGAATCAGGAAAACAGAAGAAATTTGAATGGATTCAGGAGTGCCAAACTACATTCGACGAGCTGAAGTCTTATCTTAGCTCGCCACCTCTACTGACTAAGGCCATCGATGGGGAAATTCTTTATTTGTATCTAGGAATTTCAGATGAAGCCATTAGTTCGGTTTTGGTAAGAGAAGAAACCAAGCAGCAGAAACCAATCTACTATATCAGCAGTGTACTGCACGGGGCATAGCTGAGGTATCCCATAGCTGAGAAAGCAGCATTAGCAGTGTCACTTCGGCCAGAAAGTTGAGGCCATATTTCCAGTCACACCCAATTATCGTTCTCACAGATCAACCTCTCTAGCAGATTCTGCAGAAACCAGAATACTCTGTAAGATTAATTAAGTGGGCAGTGGAACTGGGGGAGTTCGAACTGACGTTTCAGCAAAGATCGGCAATCCGAGCTCAAGCACTAGCAGATTTCATTGTCGAATGCACCCCATGTCCTTCAACCTCTAATCCAGAGCCCAACGACTAGACCTTATATGTTGACGGGGCATCTAGCAGCAAAGGTTCAAGAGCGGGTGCTCTCTTGATTGGCCCAGAGGGTTATCGAAGCGAACATGCTTTGAAATTCAACTTTGATGCGACAAATAACATGGCTGAATATGAAGCTCTGCTACTTGGCCTACAGCTAGCATTAGAGTTAAAAATCAATGTAATTCAAGTATACAATGACTCCCAATTGGTAGTAAACCAAATCAACTCAATCTGCGAAGTTATTGATCCTGTGATGGTGAAATATGCAGTCTTGGTGGCCGAGCTAAAATGCAAATTCCAAAAATTTTGTTTGAGCAAAATCCCCCAAACTGAGAATGAACAGGCAGATTCACTCTCCAAGTTTGCCTCTGATAGCTCTTTAAGTTCCAGATCTGTTTTTGTCGAGGTCCTAGATGAACCAAGCTTCATGAAGCCTCGGGTACTGGAGATTAGCACAAACCCTGACGCGCCAAGCTGAACTAATTCAATCATCTCCTTTTTGCGAGATGGGATAGCACCTGAGGATAGGCAAGAGGCAATGAAGTTGAGAAAGAAAGCATCTCGATATACACTCGTTGATGGGGTCCTATATAAGAGATCTTTCTCACTTCCTCTTCTGCGGTGTTTGAATCCCTATGAAGCTGAATATGCACTTTGAGAGGTGCACGAAGGTGTCTGTGGAAGTCATGTCGGTGCTAAGACTCTGGCTCACAAAGTCTTAAGGCAAGGATATTACTGGCTAAACATGCATAAAGATGCCAGTTACTTTGTTCAGAAATGCTCGAAATGTCAATTCTTTGCACATCTGACTCATCAACCAGCAGAGGAGCTCACGAACTTGGTAGCACCATGGCCATTTGCTCAGTGGGGACTGGATCTTTTAGGCCCGTTCATGAAAGGGGTCGGTGGTGTAACCCATCTGGTTGTTGGTGTGGATTATTTTACAAAATGGGTTGAAGCTCGGCATTTATCTAGTCTTACTTCCAAGAAGGTCGAAGATTTTGTTTTCAGCTCGATTATCTGCAGATATGGGATCCCAAATCAGATTGTGATCGATAATGGAACTCAATTCAATTGCTCCTCATTCCGAGATTTCTGTTCCAGTTATGGGATCAAGTTACAATTCACCTCCATTTATCATCTGGAGTCCAATGGTATGGTTGAATCTGTTAACAAATGCATTTTGGAAGGTATAAGGCCGAGATTGGAACAGCATAAGGCCAAGTGGGCAGACGAGCTCAACAACGTCCTTTGGGCATACAGAACCACGAGCCGAACTGCCACAGGTACCACTTTAAACCAAGTCTATTTGATTAATTTCTATATTATTTTACTTCTTCTGTTACGTTTTACCTTAGAGCAAATATGCATAATGCATAAAGCGCATTCTAAACTTATACATAACTGAAATAGGTGAAACACCCTACCACTTGGCCTTTGGTACCGAAGCAGTCATTCCTGTTGAAATAGGAGTCCCAAGCTTCCGGGTCACCCATTTCGATGAAGGACGAAATGGACAACTGCTTCGGGAAAACCTTGATCTGCTTGGGGAAAACCTTGATCTGCTTGCTGAAGTCAGAGAAGAAGCTCGGCTTCGAACTCTTGTATATAAGCAGAAACTAGCCAACTTCTACAATAAACGGGTCCGCCCTCGAACATTCAAAGTAGGAGACCTTGTTCTCAGAAAAGCTGACCTAACAGGATTTGAAACTCGTTTTGGCAAACTCGCCCCGAATTGGGAGGGCCCTTATGCCGTGGCCAAGGTGCCACATCCTGGTGCCTATGTCCTCCAAGACGCTGAAGGAAAGAAAGTTCCTCGAGTCTGGAATGTCAATAACTTGAAGAAATTTTACCCCTAATAAAATTCTTTCAAGTGATCTATGTTTTACTGTTCTTTACGCTTATCACTTCGTGTTTGTTAAGATTCAATTTACTTCTTATTCTATGTACCCGAGGTCAATTAGTTCTTTCATTCCTTAAAACTTCACCTCTGATTAATAAATGTCACTTCATTTATGAAGTGCTTTATTTCTTTTTAATTCATTTGCAAACAATGTCCTTGTTCTCAATTTATCTGAAGTGATTTACTTCTTTGTAATTCGTCTAAAGTGATTTACCCCCCTTTTGTTTATTTCTGAAGTGGTTAGCCTTCTTTCAAATCGTGTCTCAAGTACTCTCAGTTCTTCTATTAATAAAAAATAACAAAAATATAAACCAAACATACACAAATATATAATTTCATTTAACAAAATAACAGTGTTACAAACTGTCTAAATGTTTTTACAAAAAATTAAAAAATAAAATTATTTCTCCGCTGGGAGAGGTGACTCCATTGGCTCCTACTCAGCTGGAGGAGGTGGCTGTGTTGGCTGCTGCTCGTCTGGCAGAGGAGGCTGCTCATCGTCGGAGGGAACTGGATGAATTTCCACTTCTGGAATTGGTTGGCTCTCATCCACTTCAGCTCCTTCCACTCCTACCTCCATCTCGTCTTCCTTTACCTCTGCCCCTTCTTCCTCCACTACAACGAACTCGAAGTCGAAATGTGGAGGGAAAACAGCACGTCCGTTTGCATCATGCTCCCACCTCAGTTTGATCTGAGGACGGAAGTTTGCTGACATGCTCTCACCGTCTTCCTCCACTCCTCCTTCTTGCTCTCCGAAGGTGATCTGCATAATATCCACTTTGGGATATTCTATCTTCACCTTCTTCCTGCAGTCCGTGAATGCAATGATGGCAGTGGGCAGCCGATATAAGTTGACGATATTGTCAAACGAGCTGGAGCTAATGAAGTTGCTGATGTGCTCCTTCATTCCATTATGCACCAAAGTCTGCACATTCTCCTTCAGCTCCAAGAAAGCCTCCTTCGTCAACTTTAGTTCTTGCGCCTGAGCCTCACGCTCGCTTTCTGAGATCCTTCGTTTACTCTCTTCAAAGACGAGCTTGGTGCTCAGGGAAGACCTCTCCTGCTTCAACTGCTTCACAGTTGGAACCACCTCATCCAGCGACTCTTGCAGTTCCTTATTTTTCTTTCCCAACTCCTCCTTCTCCTTCTGCAGCTAGTCACACTGCCTCTGCAAAAGTAAGCGCTCCTTCAGGCTCTCCTTGAATTCTTGGGCTAAACCATTCACCCAGCTCGTGCTCTGCAGATCAAAGCCGAGGTTAAGAGAGAAAGAAGAGAAAACGAAACAGATTAACTAAACAAACATCAATACTTTAACATACTTCTAGAATGTGCTTCACCACGGACGCTCCACCATACCTCAGAGCTTCCTCCCGCGCGTTGCGTCTGTCCACTTCAGGGAAGGTGTTGTTGATGAACCACCTAGCCCCCGTTATGTTCTTCGCTTCGAATAGGCTGCTCTGAGGCCTCAGTGGGGGAACAGGGCCCTTTCCCTTACCAGGAGCTCGTACCTCAGCCCCCTCCTCCAACTGTCTGAGCTCAGGGTCCAGCTCAACAGGAGAAGGTTGAGGTACGAACAGAGGGACCTCATTCCCCGTCTCCTCCTCCACCACCTTCTGCTTCTTTTGCAGTGCCCTCCTCTCCTCCCAACCCTTCCTCTTCAACTGTGGCACCTCCTCCTCCGTCTCAGCTAAAGCCGTGACCACTACCTCCTTCCTAGCCCTCCCCTCATCCACTTGCTTGGTTGAAGTCTTTGACTTCTTCCTTGGCTTCTTGGGGATGGCCGCTCCTCCAACAGTGTTCAAGAATTGATCCATTCCAGCTGCAAGGAAAGAAAACACAATATTAATCACAGTTCTATACTCTACATTCAGTACTACAACGCAGAGTTAAACCAACCTTCACTCAAAGCGCTTGGCCCATAGAGCTCAGCAGCTTCTATGCATTGTGCGCTGGTGAGGTCCATTATGTTTAGTAGCTCCCCCCCTTCCTCACCAACTTCCTCACTTCTTCCTCCTCATCCTCGTTTAAAGTAAATTTATTTTGGTTGGCTTCTTTGGCCTTCCAAGATGCTAACTCCCTCACCTCGGCCTCTCCCCTCTCCCACTCCGTATCATCTACAAAAAAGAATTTTTCCTTCCATCCTTTAATGGATGAAGGACTCGCAGTGAACAAAGACCTACTCTCCCTCTTGGCTACCCTAGGGGTGAAATAATACCACCCCTTATCCCTCCTACTACCCCCCTTTAAAACAAAAAAATACTTAAACATATTTACGGTTGGCACACTAATCCCCTGAGCTCAGCAATAGACTAAAAATCCTATTATTACCCTCATAGCATTGGGGACTAATTGTGTCAACCCTATCTTATAATCTAATAATAATCCTACCAGCAACTCAGGAATTGGAAACCTCAATCCCGCTATCAGATAGTGGGAATATATGGGCATCCAATGGTCCTGAGGAGCAGAACACGCTCTCTCCTCTACCCCAGTTGGCCTAACTAACACTCGAGAAGAAATCTCGTAATTTTCCACAAAGTGACCCAGGCTATCCCTGGTCCTTAGTTTAGACCTATACTGCTTCACCTCCTCTACTATCTCCGCATTCACATCATAATCTTTCTCTCCTCTACCCTCTACTTCTACCACGGTAATGGATATGCTATCTACCTCAACCCCCACCACCTCATTCCTCCTAACTTCCACCACCTCATCTCCCCTCACCCCCTCCACCGTTTTCTCCGAACTAGATGGAGATGGACTACTCTTTGAATCCATGCTCCCATAGTCCAAGGGCATCACCTCACTCCCTACTACACTTTGTGTTCTTTCTGACGACATTTTCTCAAACTCTGCACGAAGTAGGGGGGAGGAATAAGTCAGGATCCCCTTTTAAAAAAAAAAAAAAATCCCCTTTTGTTGCACATTCAAAATCCTCCTCACCTCTAACCCTAATTTCCTTCAACGGACTCTAAATCAATCACAGAAAGGAAGAAAGAAGAAAAACACTTCGATTAACTCAAAATCAGAGGTTCATATACATTACCTGATTTCGGTTTCGAAAGACTTGATGTAGAGATCCCTAGTTGATGCCGCAATTCACATGCACGAAACACGCAGTAAAGCTTTTCGCAGAAATTTTGTAGGAAAAGAAATGCAAGTAAACCTCTTTCTGCAGGAAAAATGTCTATTTATACTTCTGGGCAAAATTAGATCTCAACGGCTGAGATTCGTTTAATCTAACGGTTCCTATTAACACCGTTTGGAATTCAACGGTTCGTTTTGAATTCGACGGTTCGTTTTTTAAAATTTTCCCGTTTACCTGTTGCAGTTATCTTTTTACGGCTACATTTATTGCACACGTCATCCCAAGGACAACTGTTAGATTTTTTCAGACGGGCCCACTTACGCCCATTTCAACACCTTCATTCACTTTTGCACATTTTCAATTTTTGCAAGTGTTTCACCTCGGCTCCGGCCACAGCGATCCTGCATTACATGTTTCACATCGACCTCGATCATTATATTTTATTATGGCTCCAGCCATTACGACCTCGGTCATTATATTTTATTATTACGGCTCCGGCCATTATGACCCCCATCTTTACACCTAAGCCTAACTCAACACTTCTGTTTATTTTTATATTGCACTTTTTAACCTGCAAAGTGTTTCGCTTCGGTTATGGCCACAGTGACTTAGTGCAACATGTTTCACTCCGGCTCCGGCCATAGAGACATATGCTTTACTTCGGCTCTGACTACTGTGACTACATGTCACATATTCTACCAAGGCTCCGGCCATTATGATTGCGGTCATCATTCTTTATCACGGCTCCAGCCATTATGACTGCGGTCATCATTCTTTATCACGGCTCCGGCCATTATGACTCCGGTCATCATTTTTTATCATGGCTCCGGCCACCATGACTTCGGTAATCATCCCTTACATGGCTACGGCCACATTGACTCCGATCATTATTTTTACCATATCTACAGCCACGATTGTTCTGGTCACACTCTCTTCTTATCGCACGGCTATGTATGCATTTGAGTTACAAATTTTATTTCTTCCTTTTACTTCTATGATTTATCTGTAATTCTCTTTGTTTATGTACTCCCCTCATTATTCCCCAACAACATCATTCACAAGTGAATGACTTCGAGGGGGGAATAGTGTAAGGACAGATCCGAGGTGCCAAGCCTCGGACTGCTACAGTAATTCCTTTATGACCGAAGTGAAGGATAGACTCAGAGCTTCCCACTCAAATAGCTGCATGACAGTAACAATGAGCATGCCCGCACTCGATTCCTTATGATGAGTGGCATAGCAGGTATGGTGGAAACCTGTGCATCTGAATACCTCTCAAATTCCCGGTCCCGGAATAATCGTCTGGATGGACACGTCAGGCTTCGATTATCTTGCTTGGCATGCCACGTGGATTCCTCATCGGATCCTATAAATACCCCCTCCGAGCCATATCAAAAGGTAATTGAAACCAACCCTAAGCTCTTTTTATCTCCGCCCTAAAGGTAGCCCCGATTATTGCTGACTTAAGCATCGGAGTGTCTACCCCGAGTTCCACCTCGGGGCTTTGTAGGTCATCCCGGAGTACAGGCGTGGGCTGAAAAAAGACTTCTGATTTGGTGCAATTACAATAACAAAACTGAATAAGTGTTAAAAGATGTATTAACTAGAAAAATTTTCCAATCATTTTCTTTACTGCTTACATATCGAAGAAAATTTAAAGTGCTTTAGCCATCATAAAAGGTTGAACCTGCACGGACGCATTGATCTCTGGAACTTTTATAAGCAAAATGAATCAAATATTAGTAAGACTAGGATTACAAGATGATACAAAGGTGTTTGTTTGGCATAGACCAAATTCCAGGAAAATGACAAGAAACCACACACTGAAAATGGCTTCTATGGTTGGCCAAAAATTTCAAGGCACTTTCCCAGAAATCGTTTTCCACATTAAAGCCTCAAAAAGTTGGGGTAAATGGCAGGTAATAATTAGTTACGTTGCCTATAATCAATTATGCTGACTCAGAAATTGAACTTACATTAAGTTACTTGTTTAATTGGCCAATGATTTTTAGTGTTTTGTCATCAATGGCCGGCCTATATTATAATAATCAAATGAACATCCTCTTTTTTATTTTAAAGTTTGAACTATATTAAATTATTAAATAAAAATTATTAAATAAAAAATAATTCATATTGTCATACACTTTATTAAATAATTTAAATTGTATAATTTAATGTGATCCAAACATATAATACTTTTCAGTATTTTTAATAAATTGAAGATTTCAGATTCGAATTTTTTAGTCGAGCGGAGAGGGATTTAAGAAAAGAGGAGGACTATCCTCTCTTATATAGCCCATTCAAATGTACAAAAAAAAAAAACATATAATATTTTTTTTATAATTAGATACATAATCAATTATTTTACAAATAAATTTTTTCAACTTCCTAAAAATATTATAGTTGAAACCAACGACTTATTGGTTTGAGTGAAGGAGTTCAGTTTCTTTTAAATAAGGTTTCGATTTCGAGTTTTATAAATAAAAAAAACAAACGCTAGGAGAATTTCTCTACTCATGGAATCCAACACAACGTGGGAAAGCTTTCTCATTATGAAATTTGATACGACTCAATTCTAAATTAGTAATTCAATATGATTACTGTTTATCTAGAGATTAATAAAAAAAATACTGTAGTTGGTTTGCTTTCTAAAGAAAATCTCAGAAAAACGTAATTGAATATATTTGAAAAGAATTATTTTCTCACTGCTTTTGAAGTCACATATTGTAGGTTTGAATTGTACTATATGTGAGTTTCGTGAGTAATTAATACAAGAGACAAGGTTATGTACCAGGAAAAAAAAAAATAAAAGCGAAGGTTAAATATCAAATTTAGTCTATTAACTTTATAATTTTGTATAGTTTTGTCTATTAACTCTAAAAGATATACTTTTTTCATCCCTTCATTGGTTAATTTATTAACTCTATTTATATATGCACATTTTTAATCCCTAAATTTATAAATTTAAATATTAAAAATATACATATGTTATAAATTTAGGGACTGAAAATGTGCATATAAGTTTAGGGATTAAAAATGCGTACATATTATAAGATTAAGGATTAAAAATGTGCATTAGTTTTCAAAGTTAAAAAATGAAAAAAATTGCAAAAAAGAAAAAAAAAATTGAGAAACAAAAACTTTGCAAAGCCCTAAAATTGAGGGACTAAAATTGGCATTTGACTATGAAATGTAAATAAAGATAAAAAAAAGAGAGATAGAAAATTATGTTGTCTCTAATTTTGCAATTCAAAATATGGATTATATTGAAAATAATAAGCTAAATATAAGTTGAACAAAATATTAAACTAATAATTTTATGAGATTAGTGTTTGTTAACTGAGCCTTTAAAAAATTAAGAGGATAAACATCTCAAAATACATCATTTTATTAAAATATCACAAGAAAATACCGAAATAAATTCAATTATGTTTTAAAAATAAATTATTTTAGTTTTTCTTAATGAAACTTTATTAAAATAACACAAATTTAAGAGTTTTTTCTCCTAATTTTTTTTTAAAAATTTAGTTGATAAACACTTTAATTTTTCTTGTTTTATTCATATAAATCATTATATACCATACATACCATGGATTCAGAGTATGCTATATATAGAAGGGTAATGGTATGTATATGTGCGTGTGTGTATATACATGGAGCCTCATAATAATAAATGGTACATATACTGTTGAGGTGAGATAATATAGACTTAGGAGCTTTGTGCTATCTTAAGAAAGATAAAAAAGAGGTCTTAACCAAAATGACTAGTATAAAACATGAGGTGGTGTTAGACGCCTTGAAGATTCCTTCTAAGCATTTCAAAACAAAAGGAGATTATTATGATGGGAAAGAATGGCATAACATTTCTATTCTAATAGATACAAAAGTAGGAGTAACACATATCCATGGTGATATGATTCCACACCTACAAAGATCTAAACTTACTAAACCATATACATATTATAACTTTAATGGTGCAGTGACCACGATACATGAATATGCTAAAGTACTTTTTCGAATAGAGGATAAGAATAAGATTTAACATGAAATCACTATAACAACTCATGCTGAAATAGATATGACTACAAGTACAGAATTGACGCTAGGAAACACATTCTTAACATTAGTACAGCCTTATAACATCTAAGAACACTGTGTGAAAAATACCTTAAGTGGAAAAGAAATAGTTATACCAAGATACCATGAAAACTAGTATTTATAGTGTATACATATCGATTAGAATTAAGTATGAAGAATACAAAACAAAATTCTTTCATGCTTTTATAGACACAGGATCTAAGATATATTTAGCCAAAACCAATGTATTCCCAAATTATTATTGGAAAAACATCTCTCAAACTATGAAAGGTGTAACCATAGATGGAAGTATTATTCAATATAAAACAATAATAGAAAAAGTTACAGTCATAATTGGTGGAACTGAAGTTATAATTCCCTAAGTCTATGAAAGTAATGAACATGAGAATGATATTCTATTAGGAAACAATTTCCTATGTCAATTCAAGCAATATGTTCAAATTGCATTATATGTAAAATTTTATACACCCTGTGGACATTAGCTTTATGCCTCCAGAATTTATAATATTTACACTAGAGCAATAGAAACATTAAATATCCACAGCCAATGTTGTCACGCCCCAAAACCCCAATTCGAGGCGCGACAGACGCCGTACACTTGTGAAACAAATCCCACAAGTGTACAAAGCTCGGAACTTATTCAATTCATATCTGATAATCCAATAACTCAAATCAATCATCTCAAAATAATTCTATGTCCAACATAACTTAATCTCAAATTCTCCAAGTCAAATCTCTTGTAAACTAATAATCCATTAATAAAGTTATAAAATCTCCAATTAAACTTTAATTCACAAGATCATGATCTATATCTCAAATCTATATTCACTTTACAAAATTACTAGCCTTCTAACTCGTTACTCCCCTCGGTTTCCCCGTCCTCGGTATCACTTCTTGAAATGGTGGACAAGGAAAAACTATGAGATAACTCAGTAAGTAAATATGGATAGCCCTTGGGTAAAACTTTTAAGTATGCTAGATAAACCATGTAAGCATAGCAGAACTTTCAATACTAAACCGTTAATGCGGAAATCAAATTTGATTCAATAGCAAAACGTTCAATGACAAAACTGTCAATGCAAAATCAAATTCAATTCAATAACAAAACGTTTCCTGACAAACCGTTAATGCAGAAGAAAACTCAGTTCAGTAATCTCATCTATAAGTCATGGCCAGTGTGATAACAACCCACTGGCAAGCGATAGAAATTTACTAGTGTTTAACCCCCACTAGCAGGGTTACAGAAACGAACCGGTTCTATCAATAACATATCGACATGAGCCGACATGTGCTAGCGTTTAACCCCCACTAGCAAGATCATCAATAACATATCGACATGGGCCGACATGTGCTAGCGTTTAACCCCCACTAGCAGGATCATCAAGAACATATCGACATGCGCCGACATGTGCTAGCGTTTAACCCCCACTAGCAGGATCATCAATAAACATATCGACATGGGCCGACATGTGCTAGCGTTTAACCCCCACTAATGGGATCATCAATAATCATAACTATATCCGAGACAAAACCATGCAGGATTTACAGAAAAACCCGAATTTCAGAACAAATCGAAAAATCTCCATGCAGGCATGGATTTAACAGAAAACTCAACATTTACCAATTTCTCAGTTCATCAAAGCAGTTCAGTCAATTCCCAAATAGGCATGCTCTATTCCAGAAAAACAATGAAATTCTCATTTTCATTTCTCAATCATGCTCATTTCCAGAAAATCATTAAAATCCTCATTTTCATACCAATCATGCTCAATTTCAGAAAAACAATAATTTTCATAAAAATCATCATGATTTTCATTTCAGTTTAATCACACTCAAATGCTGATAAAATCAATTTAAACTTTGCCACCATCTCAAAAACAATTGAAAACATGCTTTAAAATCGAAGGGCTTTACCATAATTTACTTACCTTACTCGCACAGAACAGAAGGCTAACCCAAGTGCTACGATGATAGAACGATCAAAACCTAATCACAATATTCCACAATTAATAACCATACCACCACAAATTCACAGTGAAATCATCATTAGCACTACCCCTAATCACGGTGCTATTTCTATCGATCTCCACATAACCGAACATCTCCAAATTCATTCTTATATCACAAACTAAACCTTTAAATCCTCATTAATCGTTAACCCTCGGTGTGTGAACAGTAATCAGTTACAGTGCCCTGTGAACAGTACCATGTGAACAGTACCTCGTGAACAGTAACTTCAACTCCCAAATTGGCAAAACATAGCTAATTCACGGGGGTTTCACACAATTAACCTCACAACAATTAAATTAAGCTAATTCTACATAAACCAAGCACAAAAACACATTTAATTTACTGCCACATGCTACCGGAATTCATCCCCATTTCCGGCAATTTTTCGGACACACACAAGGCAGCAATTAAATGGCTAAGTTAAGGCTTAAGGAAGTAGCCATCATACCAGAATTTGCAAGCAAGGAACCGGAGCTGCAGGGAGAAGAAGCCGGCGACAGTGCAAGGGAAAGCTCACGGCTCTACCAAAATTGGAAGGAATAAAAGCAATTAAGGTAAAGCCAGCCTAAATCAAGCTGAAAAAGGGAGATTCAGGGCTGTTCTTACCGAAAAATGCCCAGAAATTTCAAACCCACAAGTTGAAGCCGACGGACAGCAGAGGGAGGAAGACGCAGATCTGGGATTTTCTGGGTTCAACAGGTGTTCTAAGACAAGAAAATAGGGAGAAATCCCCAAGCTTTGCCGGATTTCCGGCCGGAAAATGGGTGGCGGTAGTTGGGGGGCTTCTCGAGTGCAGAGGGTCGGGGGGCAGAGCATCGGGGAGAAGCAGAAGCAGAAACACGCGGCTGGTGAGGAAGAAGAGAAAGGAAAAAGAAAAAGAAAAAGAAAAAGCAATTCATGCTTATCCTAATTTCCTTTCTTTTTAATCCCTCACTTTTAAAAATTTTACGATTAAGCCCCAAAACAATATTTTCCCTTAAATAAATCCCCAATTTAATGCTAAAATACCCCAAAATTTTGGGATATTACAAATTTGGTGAGGATAAAAGAAAAACTCGCTCAAAAGAGATTAGCAAACCAGTATTAGTATTGTGAAATAATGAAAAGACACAAGAGGAAATAACCCTAGAATCTATTTTAGAAGAATTAAGAAGTAATTATGGAAAAGATCATACAAAACTATGGGAAGTCAACAAAACATATGCCACATTGAATTAATAGACCCAAAAACTATTATTAGGGTCAAACCAATGAGGCATAGTCCAAAAGATAAAGAAGAGTTTGAGAAGAAAATTCAAGAATTAATAGCTCAAGAGATTATACAAGCCTCCAAGAGTCCGCATAGTAGCCCTACCTTTGTGGTAATCATAGTGAATTAAAAAGAGGAAAAGTTAGAATGGTTGTTAACTACAAATAACTTAATGACAAGACTAAATTTGATGATTACTTTTTGCCATATAAAGAAACTCTAATCAATAGAATTAGAGGAAAGAAGATATATTCGAAGTTTGATTGCAAATCAAGATTTTGGCAAATTAAGATTTTGGCAAATTAAGCTAACTCCTGAAAGTATTCCACTAACAGCTTTTAGTGCCCTTAGAGGACACTATGAATGGTGAGTGATGTCTTTTGGATTAAAAAATGCACCTACATTTTGCATCTACTACTACAAATTCTTGGCTACATTATGTATTATCATAGCTAATATATACATATAGTCATGATGGTTATATTCCATAGCTAACTATATTTTCTTTAGCAACATGCCTTAAACTTTTGAAACCAATAGTTCATTATTGTTATGATAAAATACTTTTATGGCAAAATATGTCTTTTAACTTCAAATTAATAGACATGACTATTATATCATAGCTAATTTAATTACTTAGCCATAAATATTAGAAGTCTGTAGCAATAGTAAATTGATTTAGCCATAAAATTATTTAATTGTAGCTAATTTAGTTATTTGGGCAAATGTACTAAAATTCTATAGCAATAATAAATTAATCATAACCATAAAACTATTATATTGTAGCTAATTCAATCATTTAGCCATACATTTTTGAAGTAGCTATAATGTTGGTTAATGTTGAATCTTATCATCCTACAAGCAAAGGAAGTGGTTTTAGACCAAGTCTAGGAGTCATTTTTAATTGTCTCATTTCAATTTACATTTCACATTTAAGGCTCTATATATTTACATTTAAAGTAAAATGTAGGATTAAAACTTGTTGGGGGAAATCACCATCCTCCAATTGAGAATTTATGATTAACTTGGGATGCCCGGTAAAGGGGTGTTGAATTTTTCTTGTCTTTATTTTATGATGAAACTTTTAATCAAAAACCATCCAAAGATCAATAGATGAAAGGAAATGAGTTTTTAACTACAAATTTACCTATCCAGCTTGAATCAAACCCATCATAGCCCACGTAGTTTGTACCAAGTTTGATCTGCCTTCTTCTAGAGGTTTGTATTCTACATTAGCAACAACATAGGCATTATTAATTCTATCTAGGCTAAGACTATACATAATTTTGAGTTAAGGAGAGATGAGTGTTTATGGAAAGGAAAAAGCATTGTGTAATCTCAGCTGCATTGAACTTCATAATATTTATTATTAGATAAGGAGGAGGACCTTTCAATATTAAGAGGCTCAACTCTTATGTAATGGCTCTAGTTTGCACCAAATTAAATTACTAATTCTATTGGATCAGAAGAGAGTCCTTAATATTGTGAACAATAAGGGTCATAATATGTGTTGCTTAGACAAATTTTTGTTATATTTTTAGTTAACAATTAAGATAAATTTTAACTATACAAACGAGCTTTTGTTATATATTTTGTTAACAATTAAGATAAATTTTAGCCATATGGACACGAGTGTTATATATTCTTGCTAATTTGTGTGTCTGTTTGGCCATATAGATAAAGTGGCCATCATGTAGAAGCTGGAGGACTAGATGTGCTATTTTATCATTGATAAAATTGCAACGAGATGTGAAAACCCCGACACGGGCAATTTGTCGACACTACATCGGTAGGTGTCAGATACCATGCATTAAGATTTTGTAGCTCTTGTGCCAGGTGAAACTTGAGGCAGAAGTGTCGACACTAAGATTGTGGTGTCGATGCTGTAACCAATTTTGCAAAAATCATAAAAACCTTGTTGAGTTGTTCACCTAATCATCAAGGTGAGGGCCAACTCATCAAAAATAATTCAGCAATGCACCATGTCACTCCGTAGATCCCACTTGGATGCACCACTCATTAGCTTCAAACGACTTGATGATAGTAAAGGTATCTTTAATACTTTTGAAAAACGATCTGTTTAACTTGTGCTTTAAGATATATTAATTATAAAATTTATAATTAATTTTACATAAATTTTTATATTATATTCATATTTTTTTACAAATTTCAAGTACAAATAT